AAAATTAAAAAAAAAAAAAGAAAAATAAAAGGAAAAGGCAGAACATACATGAAAGTTGGTGCATTAAATTAAATGAACTAATAGAATCAGCACAACGCAGAGAAAATGATGAGCACCACAAGTGACAGTTAAATACTGTTTTCCTCCCGCGAAAAAGCTTTCCCAAAAGCATTACTTTATTCAATGTTGAGAACTGGAAAGCCCATCTCATTCTCGTGCTGCCCTTCAACATGCCATTTTCACACACACACACACACACACACACACACACAAAAACTTTCTATCATTATTTTCTTTTGCTTATTACCTCTCTTTTGGCTCTCTTATTTCCTCCAAGATCATACTTTTTTTTTTCCCCTGAAATTGTATATTTTCTTCAACTTTTAAGAGTTTCGAATTAGAAAGTGAAAAAAAAAAATATGGTAAAGGAAACCGAATACTATGATATTCTCGGGGTCAATCCTTCTGCATCCGAGGAAGAGATTCGCAAGGCTTACTATCTTAAGGTGTGTGATTTTTTGACAAGGTTTATTTATTATTTTCTTTTTTTTATTTTTTTTTGCTTTTACTTGTATAGAGATATGTAGTTGCCCCTTTTTCTAGCTTAATCTTATATGGCTGGTGATTTTTGCGAGCGTCAACAGGGTCATCATACGAACAATTTGCAGTAACTTATTTATATTTGTTTTATTTTTGTTTATATTTCTAATGCTGAATCAATTTCTCTTGGTAGCAGGTATAGATGATGACTAGTAAATGTTCCAATCTTTTTTAGTAAAAACTGCTGTCCATGATCAAGAGCTTCATATGTGTATTTTTTTTATTCGTTTTTTCGTTCTATATGTTGAGGATCAAGAATGAGCAGACGGTTCGAGTTTTATAACAAAAATAATGTGCTTATGTCCATTTTGGAACCATTGTACACTATTTGCCCTGTAAAAAGTTTTGGATATAACTTTTCGATCATTCTCAATCGAGATGATGAAATAATATTGGTTTCTGCAGAAAAAGTTACATAAAAGTTGAGTACATTTTTCCCCTTAACCTTTGACTTCAATGTTACCTGTTTTTTCTCGACTGTGCAGGCAAGGCAAGTTCACCCTGACAAAAACCCAAATGATCCTCAGGCAGCTGAAAAATTTCAGGCATTTTCCAATCAGTAACTTATTTGATTTCTGATTATTATATTATTTATTTAATTATTTTTTGTGAAATAATTCTTAGCATCATTTCAGGTATTAGGAGAAGCATACCAAGTTTTGAGTGATCCAGCACAAAGAGACGTTTATGACCGCAATGGAAAGAACAGTATATCTAAGTGAGTCTAACTTAAAGCCACACTAAAAGAGCACAAAACTCACCGATTTTCCCTTTTTTCTTCCTTAAAATTGGTGTTCTTACATCGGTTGTTGTCTGCACGTTACAATGTGAGTCATAAATATAAATGTATCACAAAAAATAATTGCAGATTTATGTTGTAAATGTCAACTTCATTTCTAAGAAGTTTTTGCATATAAATAATATGCTTATGGTTAGTATTTTTTTCGACGTCTTTCTATTTTTGTAGGGATTCAATGCTTGATCCGACTGCAGTTTTCGCTCTTCTTTTCGGAAGCGAACTTTTTGAGGACTATATCGGTCATTTAGCTGTAGCATCTATGGCGTCTAATGAATTAGCGTGCGAAAATGATAATTCCGATAAAGTCCATGACAGGCTCAAGGTAGTAATTACGCGCAAGTTTGATCATATCTATATTTAACTTGTAACTTTTCCCTTTAATAGATTCTCACAATCATTCTAACAGCAAAACATTTGTTCTCAATCAACAACAAATTCATCTTTTACACATAGGTTGTCCTACTCCTTCACCTACATTATATTTATATATAGGTGTTTTTCAATTTTTTTTTCTTTTTATTTTTTATTTACATTTTTTACTGAATGAAGGTAGTTCAAAGGGAGAGAGAAGAAAAACTTGCTAGGAAACTTAAAGAGTTTCTTCACCGTTATGTCTGTGGGGACAGAGAAGGCTTCTTAAGAAAAGCTGAATCCGAAGCTGAACGACTTTCCCGGGCAGGTTAGCTTTTAAGACAACATTCGAAGTTTTGATTATGTAGTTTATTCCATTTTTACCCACGAGTAACACTTTTCTTCGACTTAATTGAATCAACTCAAACTTCGGAGCTTAATTACACACATTACTGTCATCAACTCACAGCTTTTGGTGCTGAAATCTTGCACACAATTGGATACATATACACAAGACAGGCAGCACTACAGCTCGGGAAAAAGGTCATGTATCTTGGAGTGCCATTTCTAGCCGAGTGGGTTCGAAATAAAGGGCATTTTTGGAAATCACAACTCACTGCAGCAAAAGGTTAATTCGTTAAAGAACTTTCGAAACGATATTACATGCATATTGTGCTAAAATTCAAAATTCAACATTTTTCTTCAATAAATATCTGCAATTCCAGGTGCTTTTCAGCTGCTCCAGCTTCAGGACGATGTTAAACGTCAGTTCAAGATGGACGGTGGTGGATCGGAAAATGAATTCGAGTCTCATCTAAGGCTAAACAAGGACACACTAATGAACTCACTTTGGAAATTGAATGTGGTTGATATTGAAGTTACTCTACTACATGTCTGCCAAATGGTAAGTTCACCCATTTGCGTAAGGTTCGGATAATTATAAGAGAACCCCAAAGAAGTTTCAATATTACAGAACACTCTCTCCATAGCTTTGACTTTATGTTGTATTCTTTTCCATCATTTCTTCTCACCTCTTTTATGTATTCTTTTGTAGGTTCTACAAGAAAGCTATGTTAGGAAGGAAGAACTAAAAAAACGCGCAGTGGCCTTGAAAATCTTGGGAAACATCTTTCAGGTAAGTTCTATTTAGATTTTAATTAAACAATATGATGCAACGTTAAGATTTTAATCGCCCTTCATAACAAGAAACTATATAAGAGATCAACTCGTTGTATTTAGAATCAGAAAAACACTCACAATGTTGGGACATCAAAAAGGGCCGATGCAGACGATAGCAGTTCAGAAAGTTCTGTAGAAGAAGATGACTCGCCAAGATCCCTAAACTACAAAACTCCGTTACTTACACAGGTAATTTAAACTACAAAACTCCGTTACTTACACAGGTAATTTACTTGCATTACTGGATTGACTTTCCACTCGTTGTCATGCATGCTTAAGGCAAATATTAACCTTTTTGTTCTTTCTAAGTTGTCCGAGTGTGTGTTTTCAAAAGATTCTGTTTGTATAATACAATAAATTGTATTCAAGAATAGAAGGCAAGAGTTTTAACTAAAAAAAAAATTATGTGAACTTAATTACTCCTAAATGTGCTGAATTATTCTCAAATTTGAAGCCAAGAATGTGTGTTTTAATTTTTTATTTTTTATTTTGCTGACAGGGCATCGGGAGACTCTTCAGGTGCCTCTGTAACCCGGCATTCGATGTTGACGATGAGGAGATTGTGTACAGAGGACGATGAGTAAAATGAACCATTTGTATCCTGCAAAACCTCATTCATGAACCTGAGATTACTGCTGTGTTTTTTCTTTTTTTTTCTTTTTTTTTTTTCCTGATATGTGCAAAGAGATGATATTTGTGTGTAATAGAAAAAAAGTTTCTGAAACCTGCTGTACAAGAAACAGAGGAATGTTCCACTTTTGTTTCATGATTTTACTTTCTTTCAGTTCAAACTTCTTCAAACTGCAACTAACTTGGCTAATTTAAGTATGAGGTAATTACAGAAAACACCCAGAGGTTTCACTACAGAATGCCCCTTGAGATTTGTTTTAATTACCAGCACACCCTCTACGTTCGCTTTTACAGAAAACTCGAGGAACTCAAACTCATAATCGAGTCGAACTCGAGCACTCTTTCCATAGGCTTGGGAGCTTGTTGATGGGTGGCTCGAATAAACATATAGTTACCTTAACGTAAAAAGAAATGAAGCCAAATTAGAGCGTCAAGTCAATCTCAAGCACACTTGTTTAAAGTCGAACTGAGCAATATTTCAAGCACACTTCTTTCTAGAGTCGAGTCCATTCGAGCAACACTATACATATCACGGCTGACTTGGTTATTATATAACACAACACAAGGCACAATAACAAAATGTAGCAAACATGATCCACAAATCAAAATTTACCAAAAGAAGCACCAAAGACTTGCAATAAAACATTTTAGAATCCAGAAAGTAGCATCCAAAAATGTCTTTCGACAAAGTGTCTTTTATACAGGAACACAAGAACCCAACTCCCCTTATTTTACCCGATACACACTCAGAAAGACATTTTTGACCCACCACACCCTAATGGGCCCAATAAGACACCCGGGCCGGGCCACGGTGGACAGCACACGCGCAATGCACGGACGTGAGGTTCAGGCAGCCGCTGATGATCAAGGAGTGGCGGCCAGGGCACGTGTGGAGGGAGGGGAACGAGTCGCACACTGCCTGCACTGCTGGCGGGGTCAAGGCTGTACACTGGCTGATGTTGAGGTTCGTGAGGCCTTCCTCCACCTCAACTTGGGCCCACGCTCCACGGTTCTTGGTCCGGGCCGGGCTCTGTGCTAGGGAGTACATAGCCCGGTCCGTGATGTTTTGGCAGTAGTAAAGCCCCAGGGATCTCAAGTGGAGGCAGTTGTTTGCCAGAGCAATTACACTCTCATCTGAAATTGTATTATAAAAAATATGTGAAGTATAATCACAATTACACCAAGTTACAAGATTGATTTTTTTTTTTAAGAGGAAGAGAAAGAGTACAAATAAAGGCATACCGGTTATAAGAACACATCCACATAAATCCAGAGATCTAAGATCTGGACAACCATAAGCTAGGCTCTTTACACCGTCATCACCAACCAAGTCACACCATCCAAGATTCAAGTACTGTAATTTTCTACAATTATACCCAATCGCCTGCATATAATAATATATCCAACTACAAAATCAATCAACCATTTACACACATATTCACTGCCAAAAAAAAAAAAGAAGTTGAGCTCACCATACCGTTAAAGCCTTATCAGTCGCCGCACGAACACATCCACAAAGATTCAGATTTTTCAACTTTCTGCAAAAGCTCACCAAATAACTAAGTGCAGTATCACTGAGAGCCGAACATCCACTTATATTAAGCTTCACGAGGTTCGGGCAGCCATGAGATAAGGCGTACAAGGATCGGTCAGTTAGCTTGAAACTCTTGCTAAGATCCAATTCTTGCAGATTAAGACAGTGTCTCGCGATTTTTTCAATGGCGTAGTCTTCAAGCCTCGGTGTGTCTTGCCGAAGGATTAGAATCTGGAGTTGGGGGAATTTCGGAGCTAGTGATATGACTAAACTGTTCATGTTTTTCTTGCACCTGATGAGGCATGAACACAATGTCTTACTATCAATCATCACAAAACAATAATCCATTGACATAAACACACGAGCATGTTAACAACGTAAAGAACCATCAAGATGCACTATTCGGGTGTGAATAAAATCGAGGTGCAAGAATGATTTCAGAATAAATTACCATTCTTGATCCTGCAAGAAGTTCTTTAAAATTACATGAACACCCTCAAGCTGTTAGTCTCAATCTTTGAAAGATCGAACCTTGTTTCATTTTTTTTTTTCTTATAAGTACATTATTATTCAATCTCCTCATCATTTCACAGTAAGTAGACGGCATCATTGCTCATAAATAACTTCAAATTTGAGACAACCAAGACAACAGAAACCGAACCAGATCGAATGGCTTATGATTATTTACATCCTTAATCTATCCTAAAAAAAAAAATAAAAAAAATCAAAACAATGAATTGACACAAACCCAATCCCAAAACAAATCATAACAACATCAAGAGTATGATGATGAGCAATATGAAAACATAAACCAAAACAAAATATGTACTAAACACAGATAGTACCAAGAGAGGGAAAGACGAGTGAGGCCCCAAGAAACGGCCTCCCTCCATCCCCGGCACACTCCAGATGCAACCACCACCGTCCGATCATCCACCGCAGACAGGATTCTCAGCAGCAGCTCCGCCGGAATATCTCTCCACTCACTTACCCCATCACCGGAAAAGCTGGTCTTATCGTCGTTGTTTTCACCATTTTCTGTGACTCTTTGGGCACCGCCAAGAACCATTATTTCCTCTGTCCCTCTCATTATTACTCTCTCTCTCTCTTTCTCTCCCTCTTTATATAGGAAATCAAAACAGAAAAGACTGAATAAATAAAAGTTGCAGGTGTTATTTTCAGGAAAATCACAAAAGGGGTAGAATTTTTCACCAGCTAATGTTACAATCGCAAGGAGTTATCAGATATATATTGTAAGGGGCGCGGATAAAGTTGCTAGCTTTTTCGATTTTGTTCTCCTGAGAGAAAAGGAAAAAAGAGATGATCAAGAGGAGGAAAGATGGTTGTACCTTAAAATTTCAACGAGCTAGTCAGACTTGTACCTGATAGAGACCAAGAGAGAGAGAGAGAGAGAGCGACGTGTCGCATGAATATAGCAGTTTCGAGATTACAAGGCACTGTTTTTTATTTTTATTATTATTTTTTTTGGTACAAATAAAGAGTTTTATTGCTATTACGTTACGACTAGGCTACACACATTCCTCAAGTACGAAACACCACTAAGATCATGGGACAACCACGGCCGTACCCCATGGGGGGTTCGTGAAAGAAGTGATACCTCAATGGACCTTCCGTCGCAAAGGAAGCCAAAATGTCGTCTGCAAAATTCGCTTGACGGAATGCATGTTGCACCTTAACCTGCCAAGGGCGACTCAAGAGTTCTTTGATACCCGAAATAAGGCTGGCATGTACCCTCGGCACATCCCCTAAAGATTCAGAAAACTCCACCACGCTCGCACTATCAACTTCCGCCTCCACACATCGAAACGAAAGCTCATTCATTAAACTCAAGGGAATGTACAACCGGTAAATCAACTGATTAGAACGATTTCCAAACTAACCAAAAGCTAGCAAAAAAAAGAGCACGGGCGAGATTTTCTCGGTGTTACCCTAAACGACCCTCAAGGGCACTAAACAAACACAAAAGAGAACAAACAGAAAAAAACACAAAATAAGAATTTGTTTCTAAGTTCAAAAATATCTTGAACAACCCCAGACAGAAAAGAATCAAAAGAATAAATGAAGTTAAGGTTATGCATTAATTCTTCATCTTGCAAATTGCATTGCACCTCTTGCCATCCCTTTGTTTTTGCTTCTTCTAAGGCCCTTCTAGCTGCTAGTAGTGTAGCAGTTTTTTTATCCTCAGCTCAGTCTTCTTGTTCATGCAAATCATGTATCATAATTCCTTATTGCACTCTTAAACCCTTCCACTTTTCCTTCTAAAGAACATAGAGCACTGACTTGCAAGATCACAAGCCCTACCCTTCTGGAAAATTGTTCTCCTAAGTACTCCATGGTCTCTTGGCTAACACATCTTACCTCAGCTTCATCCTCCTTGATATTTATCAAATTCAACCAGTCTTTCCTAGCACCTGACACAACTTCTAACTCCTTGTTGAAAACCTTGTTGTTTCTTTTCTCCAGATTCTCCAGCATAAACATACAAACAACATGATCTTGTGTTTTAGTTTGAAGAATTTGTTACTACTACAAATCTCTTCCCACCAACCTTTCAAGTCCTTTGCCTTGTCCTGCAAAGAAGTCTATTCAATCCATGGCAGTTTTCCAACGTTGGTTCGTTTGGGGACATTGATAGAACAAATGTTCGGGATCTTCTTGGGCCTCACTACACAGACTGCATGTAGGATCCACTTTCATTCCTCTTCTCATCAAATGATTATTAGTGCCTAAGAACCATGATAGACTCTCCACATAAAGTTTTTCATGTGAGTTTCCAGGTTCTTTGCCACAGATTTTTTTGTATCAGCACTGAACTTGCTTGGTGAGGTTGAGTTCTTGGTGCCCTCTTTATGTGCTAGATGTTGAAATAAATTGATTTTACATAGAACACCCCTTTAGGGTCAAAATGCCAGATCAATTTGTCTGTCTTCTTTAAGTGACTAACAAGGATCCTGAGAATTGAATCAACATCAAAAGGATTGAAAGTTTGTTCTATAAGGTCCATGCCCCAGGTTCTATCTCCCTCCAACAACAGCTCATTCACTCTGTCACCTCTATTCATATCTTCTAAGGAATTACAAGAAGGTTTCAAGTTGGATTTGTCTGGGATCCAAGGGGACTTCTAAACTTTTATCGTTGCCCCATCACCAACCTACCTAATCCCTCTCATCAGACTTCAGCCCCCAACCACCCCTTC